GAAAGTGAGCTCTGCTTGTTCATTTTGGAGGTTGATTTTTGAACTGTTTTTCTTTCTTTGTGTTCTCCTAGGACGAACTGTGTGAATATTTTAGTAACAACTACTCAGCTGATCCCAGCATTGGCGAAAGTCCTGCTGTATGGATTAGGGATCGTATTTCCAATAGAAAATATTTACAGCGCAACTAAAATAGGTGAGCCGCTTCTAGTTTATCTAGTTAACAATCAACCCGTTGCTTTCGGGCTGTTAAAAATGAGAAGCAATAGATAGAACTTTTTTTTTTTGGAATACTAAATGTCAGAAAACTTGAAGAATAATTTAACCAATTTTATTGTCCAAATTGGCTTTAGGCATCAAGAGAAATACAGAGCATAATCCATGCAGTGAAACTTAGAAGATTTTACTGTACTGGCTAAAATTAAAACCTACATGTTTTAGCTATAATCAACTTAGCATCACTTCTAGATTATTATCTTATTTTCATTCTTTTAGGCAACACCAACAAAAATATTTTATAAACTAAAACAAATAGTTGTATAGAGATACACAAAGTAGAAATGAAAGCACTCTAGTAACAGCTTTAACAAAACAACTCTAATTAAATACACCATTACTAGAACTATTTTTTTTTGCTTTAATTCAACGTGTATAAACAACTGAGTTCCCATTTTTGTTATGGGGATCCAAAAAATAATTAAATTCTTGTAAGAAGGAAATGTAATCTGGAAAAAAGATAATTGTGAAATTTAGTTGGAATATAAACCAAGACAAAATAAAAGTAGGGATTTAAAAAAAAAAAAAAGCATGGCTCTTGTTCTTAGGGAATTCACAGTCTAGCAGGGGATGCAGACATCAAAATAACTGTAAAATGATAAAGCCATATGTAAATGAGCATTTATTAAGTGCTCTCTAGATGCCCAGAAGTGTACTAAGCATTTTAGATATTAAAGTCAATCTTGGCAGCCTTCCCATTTTACAGCTGAGGAAACTAAAGCTCAGAGACTTAAGTAGATTGTTGAAGTTAACAGCAAATAAAGTGGAGGGGTCAAAGCAGAGCTGAGTCCAGGTTCCAGCAGGCTCCTTGCCACACCCTAAGGGGTCCTACCACTATGTGCCTGAACGTGCACTTCAGTGGGGGAGCAGCCGCTCCCACCCAGAAGGAGGCAGAGGGCAGGTGTCAGTGAAGGCTAAAGGAAGACGTGACATGTGAGCTGGATATAGAAGGGTAAATTAGAGTTTACTCGGCAGATGGGCTAGTGAGAAGACAGTGACGGAGGAATTAAAATGTGTCCCTGCTGAGGGACCCAAGGGACTTGTGAGTCGTCCTGGGTGACTAACAGCGCTCATGGGAAGCTGACACTGGAAAGGCAGACTTGGGTCTAGTCAGAAATCGCCTTGTATGTGACTCTAATGAAACGAGTGTTACGTGAGTGAGTCCTGGGAGAGGGGGGTGAGTGTCCTGGGAGGTGGGAACAAGGTTGTTTCTGCCCAAAGAAAAAGGGGCGAAATGGAATCCCTGTAGGTCCATCTCTCTGTCTGCTTTGTGCTTCTCCTTCAACGCACTTACTAAATCATCCCTAAAAAAAAAAAAAAGATCACTTTAGTTATTTGTTCATAATCTCCTTGACAACTGAGTCTGTGTGTCTCACCCATCCTACAGAGACCAGCACATAGTAGGTGCTCAATAAATGTTGAATGAAATAGATGAATAAATGGCTGTTTAAAGGCTGACACACAGGTTTCTTTTAGACAACTGGGTCAGTAGTGACACCATTCGCTGATGGGGGAATCAGGTTTGATGGCAAAGATAAGGGTTTGATCTTACCCGTGTTGAGTTTAAAGAACCCATGGGATATTCAGATAGCCCTGTCAACTTGGAAATAGTTGGAGTCTGAGAAAGACTGAAGCCTCCTGAGAAGGGCCAAGAACAGAATACTGGAAAGCACTTATTTTAAAAAAGGAATATACCAAACAGATTCATAGTAGCCTGACAGAACCAGAATTTTTTATGTTCTCCTGTAAACTAGCCATCAGTTTCCATCAGCTCAGTTCTTTGTTCTATCTATATCAATAAAGAGGAATCATACATTTTTTAAACAGAGATCCAAGGTACAGGCTTATCAGCACATGAAAGAAAGAACATATTTCCAAGTAAGTGTATAATACCCAAGGGATAGTACTTAACTTCCCAGAAGGAAAGAACAAATAGTGTATTACATGCACATTGAACTTTAATCCCAAATAATGTGAAAGTGTTAGGATAATAGGAAATTACAATAACAATCAAGAAGGTATTTTTTTAATGGGCAATACTGGACTTGAATTTTTTTTTTTTTAGTACAGAATAAAAATTAGATTTAAAAACTGTGTGGTGGTAAAATCAATCTCAAAACCAGCAATAGAATCATTTTTTCTGTGGTTTTTCTTAATAAGGAGAGTAGGGATTGAGTGTCCTGTAAGTTCTTTGCTGATTTTACCATCAACTGAGTTAAAATTTGAGGATCAGTGCAGAAAAACCCAGGAAATTTCCTTGTAGGCAAAATGGCAAAGTCAGGAAAGGGGATGACTGGTCTCTGATTCAGCAGAGCTGTGATGTTCTTTCAGAGAAAATGGATTCATCAAAATGAAAACTTCATGTAAGACCTCAAATTAATGTCTATCTAAAAGGCAGCTTCAGCCAGTGAATCCTTGTTGTGGAAAATGTTGACATGACCCCAAATTCACAATGTAACCTGTAGGAGACAGTGTTTAGATGAGGATTTTTTGGTCCCCCAGAGCTTCACTTTTAAGGAACATTGAGAGTAACTTCCTTTTTCCATGAAAAGGAAACTTTACGGAAACACGCAGGCCTTTCCCTTTAAGGCAGGGTCGGGGCCGGCGGGTAGGGGTGAGCTTCATGACATCTAGGTGTTTGGTTGTATAGTTTTGGCAGTGAAAACTAGCCTTTGTATTTGTTTCTTAAATTGATTTAATATTTTACAGGTTAGTGGGCAACTAAGGCATCATTGAAATTACATCCTTTGAATAAGGCTGGCCCTGTTTCGTTCTGTCAGATGCAAACTAGAGATTTTAGTGCAAAATACAAATATAAAGCCGGCATTTGTTTAAGCAAACAAGCAATTTGTTCATGTGTATATCTGATCCTTATTTGAAAGAGGTGCAGTCCCCGCTCAGCCATTCACATTTGAAAACTATAAACTGTCCCATTGTCCATTAAAATGACCCTACTGGCAGCCACGGACTTGGAACCCAGTTCCTGCCCCGAGAAACAATGGCCGCATTAACTGTGGATGTGCTGACGGCGTAGCAGCCCCGGGAGCCCAAACTGAGTCTTGACATGGGAAAGATCATAGATAGAGAAGGGCATTCTCTTACCTTTATCCCGCCTTTCTTTTGGAAAGTGCTTCATTGAACGTGCGATGCCTGGGCAAGGCAGGCATGCTGTGCTGTCTCTTGTAGGGCCCCAAATTACCTGACATTTATTTCAGAAGCAGCTTTCCAAGAATATTTCATGTGAACCCATTGGGCCCTGGGAGCCTTTCATTCAGATAGTTTATCCCATCCTTTTCTGGTTGAGATGCTAAGTCTCCTGTGTGATTTCTCTTGCCGTAACAAAACCAATCCTTCAGTCTCTTCCATCCTTCTCAGTAGCCTTTCGATCAGATATTATCTTCAGACTTTGATGTGTCATGAAATAGTTTTTAAATCAAGTTCAAATGTGTTGCCCAGAATGGCAGGCTTTTGTTTAGAATTCGCTTGTAAGGGGAAAAGGACTGCTGTCAAACGCTGCAACTGTGATTGACTTCAGTCCTACTTTCTAATAAGTGAGTCTTTGGGGAAAATGTACTAAAATTGTCCATTTCCAAAGGACAGGATGCCACATGGATGATTCATGTTCAGTTTGGGATGTACTGTGCTGTTCTACATGTGACCCAAATGGCACATAAAACCACCTAGTTTGCATGAGTATGATGGGGTTAGATGCAGAGCATGGAGAAAGCATTTTATATAAAATGTTCAATCCCTAGAGTGCTGATGTCCCCAGATTTTACATTTTTGATCATTTGCTTTTGTTCATTAGGAAAGGAAAGCTGTTTTGAGAGGATAATTCAAAGGTTTGGAAGAAAAGTGGTGTACGTCGTTATAGGAGACGGTGTGGAAGAGGAACAAGGAGCAAAAAAGGTGAGTGTACCTCATTGGTGCGTCCTGTGCTGCTGCATTTTTCTTAGTCCTCAGAATTCTCCCACCTGGATCATTTAAGTAAGTTCCATTTCTCCGCAACAGATCATGAATGTGTTTAGAACTGTAAGCACTGACAAATGGCAGAGTAGATTTAAATCAAGATCAAGTGATCTTTTTGAAGAGTGACAGACAGAAGCTCAAGGGTCACAGGTGGTTGGTCTTCATAGGATGTAGACTTGGGGACAGAAAGGAGACTTAGCTCTGTGGCCATCATCCAGAACAGAGACAGCACACATGTCTGCTCATGCCAGCTTGGCCCTCCCTGCCCGAGTGCTGCTCATAGCAGACATCACCAGGTGATTAAACCTGTATTACCTGACCCTGCATGTAGCCTTGCAAACATCAAGTCAGAAAAATTACCAGCTGGTCAGAGCTGGCTTGCAAAACTATTTTCTACCCTAGAGTATGGTGCCTTCTTTTGATCACGAGGTCAGTGCCTTGCCTCTTTGGGGATGCTCAGAGAGGAGGAAGGGAGCAGACCCAACCGTAGGTCCCGTGACTCCCAATTTGCCCAAATACTTCTTTCTATTCTTCTGTATCTGCACAAGTGTAATTCTGTCACTTCCCTTAAAAAGCTTTCTTGTTAATGTCCTTTGTTGCATTTTAAAAAGAGGGGAAGGAAGAGAGGACCACATTCCTTAGCCTGGCACTCAGGGTCTTCACAGTCTAGTAACAGCCTGCCTTTCGGCGCCTTCACTCCTGCACCTTTCGCGGGAGCCACACTCGTCTGCTTACCTCCCTCTGGCCATGCCCAGCACTTCGTCCCTGCTGAGCATGATCCTTCCTCCAATGCCCTACTGTCATTGTCTTACTCATTTTTTGAAATCCAGTTTCTGTACCACCTTTTCTATCTCCCTCGTTTGTGAGAACTCAGCTGCAGGAGCACCACTCCTACTTTAATTGGAGAAGCTGTTGTAAGTAACTTGCACTCTTGAGCCAGACAGCCTGGTCTGAATTCCAGCTTTACCATCTACCAGTTCTGTGATTTTGAACAAGTTGCTTTACCCGTCTCTTCCTCTCTCCTTGTCTGCAGATGGGCCGAATAACAGCACCTAGTGCATTGGGCTAGTTTAAGGATTGGAGTTAGTTAAGATATAAAACAGAGCCTGATAGGTAGGAAGTAGGCAGCAAGTGGTGGACATTATTATTAATTATTTGTGTATGTGTCTGTTTCAGCAGTGACATGTGTGCTCCTGAGAGGCAGGGACCTTATTTTGCTTCATTGTTGAGACTCTGTCTTCAATTTTTTTCCCCCACAAATCCCTAAATCTTGGCACAGTCATGCTCTAAATATTTCTTAAATTGAAGAGCATTAAATATTTTATGAGATTAGCCATTAGGATAATTTTTTCTTCTCTTCCTTACACACTCACTCATAGAAATCACTGTATCTTTCCATAACGGAGGCAACAATTCAACTCTTCTGGAATAGCCCAGTATATACCAGAAATGGCACATAAAGTCACCAGACCATAGATGTAGCATTAAGGGTGACAAGTGGCCAGCCTCCTTACAGAATCTAAAGAAAACTTCATTCACCTCAGTGCCTCTAAATGCCAACAGAAGCACAGAAGCTGACCCTACCTAGTTCTGTAAATAATAGATTATTTCACTTACACACATAGATGCATGATGTGCCCAGGGTTAGTCTCCCCAAGTGTGACGGGTGCTGTCGGAAACCCATACACACTTTCTTAAAGCCTGATGTTAAGCAGTGTTTGCCATCTCAGCACTAATTCTGTGTTCCATCTTCACCAGTGGCCACCGCCATTGCCATTGGGTACCTCTGTTAGCCCTCTGGGCTGTCTTCATAAAAAGAAGTCTTTCCCAGACTAAATAGAATACCCAAAACTCAACCTTGGAGAGTTAAAGAGAATATTTGGTGGAAATCCAGACTCAAGTCTTTTTCCTGAGAAAGCCTCTGGAATCCCCATGCCGTTTCTAGACAGGACCTTCTGGTGGGTAGGGGAACATGGAATAGATTTACACCTCTGAGCTCTGTAGAACTGAAGAGGAGTATTTCATGCCAATATGGCCCAGGGCCAAGGTGTGAATCTGCCCTCCAGGCTGGTCCTTCTCCATCTAGTGTTCCCCAGAAAGATTGAATTTCAAGAGAAAGTTGCCAGAAGGTGGCTTTCTAGCTTGCGGTAGACAGACGAATGTTTATGAAAGTCATTTAAGTCACCACTTAAAATGCAAGGAACACAAAATCTTTTGGGCCCCCATCAAGGTTTCTGTGAGTGAGTCTTACCCTATACCTTTCTGAGAAGTATGTTTTTTAGATGTGTGCATGGGTGAACACAACAAGGAAAATGTAAAGGAATTCTTGGCTTGAGGTTAGAATTGAAAGCAGTAATAGAACTAAGAGTATTTGCTCCCTTTGAGGAATAGTTAAAACTGTTTCCACTGTCTTTCTTTGGACATGTTATTTTTATTCAGGACAAACACACACATTTATACAAAAAGAATTAGGCAGCTGCGTGCAAAGAACACCCTCTTTAAATTTCTGGACCGTGCATGAATACTTGTAGCTTCAACTTTCGGTTGTAATTTCTTGGGATAAGTGTATGTGATGAGTCCTGTACCATCTGTTACAAACTCTGCAGCTTGAGAGGTAGGCGTGGGAACTCTAATGAAACTGTGACTAGGAGTTGTAAGAGATTTTTAATGTATGTTTGTAAAGTGTAGAGAGTTTTCAGAAGATGCAGATTCCTATTAATAGTGCATAAGATTCAGATGTCATCCATCTAGAGTGACAAAGTGACCATTTCTTTCTTAAATTCTGTCTAGCCTTTCTAGGTTACTTTGTGCATAAGTTAAGAGACAAGAATCTAATAATTCACAGTAAATAATGAGTATCTTTAATGTGTGGAGTTTTGCATAGAAATAGAGAATATTTAATTTAGGGGAAGTATTTAAGTATTTAATTCAGGGGAAAGACTACAATTTAGTGTCACATTTTAAAAACTCTGTGAAAATTCAAGCTAGAGAAATAAAGAGATGGTCAGGTTATAGAAGGATTCATAATCATAATAGTAAGTATCAAGAATTACTGTCAATTTTAAAGTCCTCATCATGTCCCAGACCCTCTTTTAGGCACTTTGTATCCATCATCTCATTAAATCTTCACCAAAAATTTTATGAGGAGTCCTTAGATCCACTTTATAAACGAGAAAACTGAGGCACAGGAAGGTGAATACAAGATCACACAGCTAGAAATTGGCCAAACTAGGATTTAAAGCCAATTATGAGATTTAGCACAAAGTTCCTTCAAATTATAAACTTTATTTTCATATCTTAATGATTTATTTAAAAAAGAAATTTTAATGATTTTTTTAAATTGTTAGAATAAAGTGTGCAGTGTTTCGTTCTAATTTTACATTCATGATTAAAATTTTAAAGATAAATCATTCTAGTATATCATGTAGTTTGCAAGCATTTCAGATTATTAAATTAAAAGCTACCAAAGAACTAGTAACTAGTGGAGTTCTGCAAGTTTGAGCACAAAAATGTTTCACAAAACCAAAACCTTTTGCATTTCTTCTAAATCAGTTTTAACCATTTAGCTTGTCTCTTAGTTTCCTGTCACCTTTTAAAACTCTAGTACAAAACTCTCTTTCCTGCTGAGATGTCTTTCCTCTCCCTAAATAGTGTTCTGCTACTGGTAGGTACTTAAGCCCAGAAATGGAAACCAGGAAGTACTCTGCCCGTGACCTGTTTTGTCTCGGTCATCTGAAATCTGCTCTGTTCTCTTTACCAGTGTTCCAGGAGTTTCATCAGTAATTTCATCTAATTCTGTAATTCATATTATTAAAAAAAAACCCTTCAAAGAGAAGGTTAGAAATACCTTTGGTTTAAAAAAAATTATTCTAAAAAGATCTCTTTTAAGAGTTATCTCCAAGCCCCTCTTTGCTCTTAGACTGTGCAAAGAAGCAAGTCATCTGCCTCTAGAGAGCTTTCTTTCATGTATCTCTTTTGTTGTCAAAATCTGCCAGGCTTTCTTTTTTACCATCAAATTTACAGCTTACCTCAAGTGAAAATAACCAGGCATATATGTGTGATTTTTAAAAAATCAAAATGTAAGTAAAAAAATGCATGCTGACAGTTTTTGGTTCCAGAGTAGAAATGGCCTCGTTTTATAACTCTGTAATGAAACTTACTTTATTTACTTTTCAGAAAACGACTTAAAATGAACCTCTTGTGAGTAACATGGAGGGAAGGGGGATGGCAAGCATCCATTATTCTGCATAATGACAAAGGCTTCATAAAAATATGTCCATTTTAAATGTGCATTCCCAAACTTCCTGAAAACCCAGATGAAGCTGAGAATCTGATTAATAATGCTTGATTCTGAATTCAATCAGGAGAAAATAAGAGCTTCTTCTGTTTAGAAAAGGACGTTTTTAATGCAGGTTTTTGCTTTTAGTTTGATTTAAATGAGACACAGGGATGACTCACACTGAGTACAGAACTTTATTATTCTAAAGCCATTACATTCATTTAACTTAACTAGCACAAACTATCTGCCAGGTCTTTAAGAACGAAGATGAAATTCAACTTAAAGAGCTCACTTCTGTCCAGAGGGGAGACAGATATACAAATAATCAAAGAGCAAAGCTCCATGAGTTCTTAGAGTATCTCTTTATTTACAATTTGGGAAGTATCTGTACCTCCATATGCAAATTTTCTTAGCGAGAACATATGCATGTGAAAGCACAGATATAGTCTTTATTTTTTATACAAATGGTAACTATTCACTTTTTTCCGTACCTGCAACTCTGCATCTCTAATTTCTCACAAATGGCTGCATCCGTATTCCGTTACGTTGACGCGCTATAATTTAATGAGTCCCTTGGGGCTGAACATTTCGGTGGTTTCCAACAGTTCTACAGTGAGCAGTCATTGTGGTTCATGTGGGGGCAAGTGTATCTGTAGGATCAGTTCCTAGAAGTGCAATAGTCGGGGCAAAGGTTATGTGCTTTTATGTATTTGAAATATTTTGTTAATACATTTTTAACAATTCAGCAAAATTCAGATTATATGTGAGCGTCCATGCACCCAGCTTTTTATATTATTAATCTTATGTGTACGCAGAAGGGATCAATGCAAAATACCAGACAAGGAGGAAAGATGGCAGAATGGGATGTGGAAAGCTGCACGTATGGGCAAGAGGAATAGAAAGTATGTGTTATTATTTTCCCATTAGTCACGGAACATTTTGGTTCTAATGACCCAAAAGCATGTGCTACTTCCTATGATTTAGGTCTTAGAATCCACTTCTCTCAATATACACCTAATCTTGACCAACTAAATCATATACACATCAGTCTCAGCTATCATTTCTGTTAAGATTTGTGTGTTTGCTCTGTTTCCAGTCCCATGGCTCTAGTTACCTGATGGACTCTCTCCATTTACGTATCCCATCTGAGTATCAGCACATAAATTCTCCTGTCCCAAACCAGTTCACCCAAATTTGATTTGCTGTTCTCTACCTCAGACCCATCACCGAGTAGTGTGAATTCTCTCTTCACCGTGTGTCTCCCATCAGTGCACTCACTCCATTTCCCCGTTCCTTTGCCTGGTTTCTCTGCTACCAGCCACACCTCCGTTCCATCCTTCCCCCAGTTCCTCACTAAATTGCTTAACATACTTCTACCTGGAAAAGAAAAAATCTCCCTTCTTATTAGTGCTTATCATGAACACAGTGTTCCAGCCCCATTACCTCCACAGGAGGTAATCTGTGCACCTTTGTCACATAGCATCTCCTGACTGGGAGTCCCATCCCTCTCCACCTACCTAACCACAGTTGCCCATTCTTCAGATTCAGCGCAGAACCCATTTACCCCCCTCCAGCTTAGAGCTGAGCTCTCCCCTCTCTGAATTTATTGTTTTGATTCTCGGTTTTATTGAGATACAATTGACATTCAGCATTGTATAAATTTAAGGTGTACAACCTAATGTCTTGACTTACATATACTGTGAAATGATTACCACAATAAGGTTAGTAGACTCTTATCTTTCGAATATACCATGTAGCAGTGTTAACTGTAGTCACCATATTG